AAGCAGAGAATACCAGAAAGATGTTTACCTGTGTTTTATTGACTATGCAAAGGCATTCAACTGTGTGGATCATAACAAATTATGGATAACACTGCCAAGAATCAGAATTCCAGAACATTTAATTGTGCTCATGAGGAACCTGTACATAGATCAAGAGGCAGTCGTTCAAACAGAACAAGGGGATACTGTGTGGTTTAAAGTCAGGAAAGGTGTGCGTCGAGGTTGTATCCTTTCACCATACTTATTCAATCTGTATGCTGAGCAAATATTCCAAGAAGCTCGACTATATGAAGAACGGGGCATCAGGATTGGAGGAAGACTCATTAACCACCTGAATTATGAAGATGACACGTTCCTCGCTGAAAGTGAAGACGACTTGATGCACTTACTGATGAAGACCAAAGACCACAGCCTTCAATATGGATTACACCTCAATATAAAGAAAACAAAAATCCTCACAACTAGACCAACAAGCAACATCATGATAAACAGAGAAAAGACTGAGGTTATCAAGGATTTCATTTTACTTGGATCCACAATCAACATCCACAGAAGCAGCAGTCAAGAAATCAAAAGACGCATTGCAGTGGGCAAATCTGCTGCAAAACACCTCTTGAAAGTGTTAAAAAGCAAAGATGTCACCTTGGAAGACTGAAGTACACCCGACCCAAGCCATGGTATTTTCAATTGCCTCACAGGCGTGTGAAAGATGTACAATGAATAAGGAAGACAGAAGAAGAATTGACGCCTTTGAATTGTGGTGCTGGTGAAGAATACTGAATATACTATGGACTGCCAAAAGAATGAACAAATTCGTCCTGGAAGAAGTTCAGCCAGAATCTCCTTAGAAGCAAGGATGGTGAGACTATGTCTCACATACTTTGGACCTGTTATTAGGAGGGATCAGTCCTTGGAGAAGAACATCATGCTTGGTAAAGTAGAAGGTCAGCGAAAAAGACTAAGACTCTCAATGAGATGGACTGACACAGTGGCTGCAACAATGGGCTCAAGCATAACGACAATTATGAGAATGCCACAGGACTGGGCAATTTTTCGTTCTGTTGTATATAGGGTCGCTATGAGTCGGAACTGACATGACAGCACCTAACAATCAACAACAACGTGTTTTTGGGAGGAAGAGCACAGAGTAAAAGTTCCTCTCATCACATCAAGACAATACACGTACTATCAACACACCTTATCACAGTTGATGTGAACCTTTATTACCTGGCTGAAGTAGTGTTTGCCAGGTTTCTCGTTTACTTTTTTCTTTTTTACATGTGGAAGGAAGTGCAGCCCACACTTAAGCTGTGGGAATTATGCTCATTTTGCATTCCTACCAGCAATGAATGAGAATTTCTGTTGTTCTGCAACCTCGCCAGCAGCAAGCGTTGTTAGTTTTTTGGATTTTAGCCATGCTAACAGGTGTGTAGTGGTATCTCATTGTTGTTTTAATTTGCACTTAAATAATGGAAAATGATGTTGAGCATTTCTTCGTATGCTGATTGGTCATCAGTATATCTTCTTTCGAGTCCTTGGGTGGCACAAATGGTTAAGCTGCAAGGTTGGCAGTTAGGACCCACCCAGAAGCATCTCAGGCGACAGGCCCAGCAATCTTCTTCCAAAAGGTACAGCCTTGAAAACCACATGGTGGAGTTCTACCCTGCACACATGGGGTCACCATGAGTCAGAATCAACTCCACGCCAATAGTAACAACATATCTTCTTTGGCAAGATGTCTGCTCAGAGCTTTTGCTCGTTTTTAATCTTTTTTTTTTTTTTTTTATAAGTAATTTACTTGTTGCTGTTGAGAATATACACAGCAGAACATACACTAATTCAACAACTTGGGCTGTTTTCTTACTGTTGAGTTTTAACAGTTCTTTGTGTATTTTAGATACAAGTCCTTTACCACATAAGTGGTTTGCAAATATCTTCTCCTAGTACGCAACTTGTCTTTTTACTCTCCTATCAGTATCTTTTGCAGAGCAGAAGTTTTACATTTTAATAAAGCCCAACTTACCATTTTTTCCTTTCATGGACTATACTTTTAGTGTTGTATTTAAAAACTCATCATCAAACCCCAGATTATGTAGATTTTCTCCTATGTTTGCTTCAGGAAGTTTTACACATTTGCATTTTACGTTAAGATCTAACTAAGATTATTTTAACCCTTAAAAAGATGCAGAAGTTCATCTACTGATGAATGGATAAACAAAATATGGTATATACATAAAACGGAATTTTATTCTGTAATAAAAAGGAATGAGGTACTGATACTTCATGAACCAGGGGCTGGAACATGATGGTGACCGTTGTGCAATTCTGTGAATATAACAAAAACCACTGAACTGTACACTTTAAAAGGATGAATTTTATGGTATATAAACTATATCTCAATAAAGCTCTTATTAAAAAAAGATACAGAAGGCAAATTGGTGAAATGAAGCAAAAGGAAAATTAGAAAATCGAGCTAAGTGACGGGGACATGGGGGTTCATAACATTATTCTCTCTACTTTTGTACAAGTTTGAAAATTTCCATTAAAGAATATGGAAGGGAAATAATATTCTAAATTAGGAAAGTGGTAAAATAATAAATATAATCTGATAAATAAAATCACTGATAAACATCAAATGCTTATATGCTGAAATCTGTAACCACCAGACTTCAGTTAACAGCTCAAAGGTCAGCAACTGATGTCACTGAGGGAGCAGCTCTGGATCAGGGAGCACCTGAAGGATGTGACAGGGCTGGGCAGGATGAGAAGAGAAGAAACACCCAGGCACTGGAACAGATGCTCCATCAGAGCAGGGATCCTTCTCTGACTTGTTCACTGATTTATCCCAGTGCCTGGCACACAGCAAAAGCTAAATAAGTTTTTGTTGAATAAGCAAGTTAATATGTGAGATTAAATTATCTTACCTGACACAAAGTTCAGAAAAATGCCCCTGACTCCAAAAATTCTTCACTGAAGACAGTAAAAAAGTTTTAGATTTTTGAGTGGGTAAAACATCACCAGGGACTGACAAATCTATGTAGCACCTCAAAACCAATCCAATATGGACTAAATTTTAAAAAATCTGTATCGACTATTTGTTTTCAATCATGACATAGCTTAAAGAACAATAAAAACCCCTAATACATTTGAAGCAACAAACATTAAGTGAATATTTTGGGGCAGAAAAGAGAAAGCTACTCACTGCCACAGATTTAACAGCTTTGATAAGCTTTTTGCTTTCCAAATTCTTTAGAATTTTGTTGATTTCTGTTAGTGGCAAGTTACTTTTGTATCGGATATCTCTGCTCCATATACCTATAAGAAAGTAAAGTAAGTTGAACGCCACAGAATTTTTGTTACTCCAATCTCTGTTCTCTAATATTTTCACTTCAGATGTAAATGTGAGAAACAAACTTAGATTTGGGTCAGTCAGCTGCCATCTCCAACCGGAACCAAAAAAACCTTTAGGTGAGCAACTGTATGCATGTATGTTGTTGTTAGGTGCCGTCGAGTCAGTTCCGACTCACGTATACCCATTATTTATACAACACTATACCTGGGAGAGGAGCCCTGCTGGTGCAGTGGCTAAGAGCTCGGCTGCTAATCAAAAGGTCGGCTGTTTGAATCCACCAGCCACTCCCTGGAAACCCTATGGGGCAATTCTACTCTGTCCGATAGGGTCGCTAGGAGTCACAGTCAACTCGACAGCAATGGGTACACCTGTGAGACAGAATAAGGAAGACTGTGGTTCTTACAGCTACTAAAAGCTCTGCGTGAGAAGCTAGGAGTTTTCCCTCAAAGAAGAAAATAAGTATTGTTGAATATGAAAAGGGAATTTTATGAAAAAATGCTTTATTTTCTTCCCAGTGTAGAGACAGAATTTTTTTTTAAATTGAGGATGGCTTTCTGATATTTTTAAGATGTTAATTTAATTCTTAGGAGTAAATATAGGAATTAAGTGTACAATGACTCAAACAGATCCTAAATGGTAACAGCAGTAATTTAGAAATCGTTCTTAAGGGGGACAGCAGGGGAACTAAACAGCTGCTGACACCGTCTGGTAGGTCAGATAGTGCTATGCTCTTCTAGGCACTTTATCTGCTTACATTTCATTCTTATTAACAAACAGAGAGATATTATTATCCACAATTAACAGAGCAGATCAAGAAACCAAGGCCCACAAAGTTTAAGTAATTTGTCCAAACTCATATAGTTAAAAAGTGAGGATTAAAAACACTTAGGTTTTAATTTATTTATTCTGAACAGACAATACCCCTATGTGATCCAGAATCCAGAAGTCTCTTTCCAAGTCTAGCCACAGCTGTCTAGTTCCTGCCTCTCTAGAGGCAACAATTGCATCACTCTGGGTCCTTCAAGCATATGTATGCCATATTCTTTTCCTCTCATTTTGACACAAATGGCAGCATACACTACACACTGAGCCACACTTTGGAAAGCCAGATTTAAATCCCTCTCTGGTCCCAAAGACAATGTTTGTCCTCCTTCACACGGTTACCTTTATTTCCTGCATCCTCTATGATTTGATATACTAGTTTTTCTTGGTTATCTGATCCTTTCATTTTACTGCAAGGAAATAAAGTAGAATTAAAAAGGCAAAGGGGTACAGGACAGTCTATTAATCTACATGACTACTCAAATGAATTAGCAGACAATGTCATCAAATTGACTTATTTACCAAAACAAGTGCTTACCTTAAAAAGAATGAGACAGATCTGTATGTATCACAATGAAAAGATGTCCAAGATACAGTAAGTGAAAAAAACAAGGTACAAAACAGTATGGATAGCATGATCCCATTTTTGTTTAAAAAAAGAAAAGAAAAGAAAAAGAGATTAAGAGTGCTTATCTCTGGGAAACGGGGCTCATGAAAGGGGGCGGGGTGACAGGTTTACATTATGCAGTTTTGTATTGGCTTCTTCTCCAACACATACATTACTTTTGTAATAATTAAAACTTTCTTAAAATTAAAAAGAAACAAGTGCTTACCCAGCATTCTGGGAGTCTTTTATTCTATACAAAAGGCCCGTATTGCTCCGTAAGAGATCCAACTGACCCTAGGGTTGTTTTTTATAGAAAATAGCAGTTAATTATTTTGAAAATATATCAAATCCAATATCAAATGTTCATGCATACTTTAATATTTTTATTACACAGACTAAAACATTCTACTCCCACAATTTGTCAATTCCTCACTTCAGACTTATGTTTTTGCCTATATATCACATGCAATATATTTTTCAAAACTTAGCTCTTTATCCATCATTTTTCAAAATATTAGTATCTAGCAATTTCCTATATGCTAGATCCTTGCTTGGTTATATGATCAATGCATAAATAATTTTAAATGGGCAGCTTTAGAATAGTAAGTAAAAATCCAAATTCAAATAAATCCAAATGGAATAAATACATATAATACAATAAAAATATAATTCACATAAATACAAGGTTCAAGTAAAGGCTAAATATGCATATTCTATAGCATAATGATTAAATTCACAAAGTGAATAGTGACATTTAATGATGTGTATAATTTTTACTGTTACATGAAAATTAGGTAGAAAGGTCAACTGATGAATAAAAGGCCAGTAATAGTAGCATTTTTATATACTACATCAAAAGTAAAATAAAGCATGTTCTGACATGCTTCTATATTTTCTTCGGCCGGAACTTAGTAGAATGCAGATGGCCACACCATTGGGCTTCTGGCAGTTCTGGGAAGCCATGGCTGAGAAGCCCCCGTCCCGTGAATTAAGACTAGGAAGACCCAAAACTTGGAAACAGGTTATTTACATATGAAAGAACAACGATGGCCTCTCTCCCTACCCTGACCCCACTAAGTGCCAAAACTGGACCACAAACCTCAATGTGGAGACACCATTTGGTGGTTTATGCAGCCTATGAACATTTACTGAACACCTGTACCATGCCAGGTTTTGTGATAGGTGTTTAGAGGGACAAATATAAATTCTAAAAGGGAAACAGCTAACTTCAATACCATCTGGTCGGTGTTAAGACAGAGGTAAGCAAAGGGTGGAATGGGCACTCAGAGAAGAGGCTGTGGCCCAACCTGAGGGTGCAGTGCGGTGTGACAGATTGCCTTTGTGTGGCCTTTCTCGCCATGGTCTTGTAATTCCCACCCAAATGACTGGGGGGACTGTGCAAATAAGGTAATTGTGGCCCACCCAGGGGATTGGTCAGTTTTGCCATCCCGCTAGGCTTAAAATGAGCCATCCCAGAGGCAAGAGGGAAGGATCTCACCACCACCAAGGAAGAAGAGGCAGGAGCAGAGTGTGTCCTTTGGACCTAGGATCCCTACACTGAGAAGCTCCTGGAACCAGGAGACAGAGAGAGAGAGGTTAACACTTAAGATGGCGAGAAGTGGCAGCAGAGAAATGTCAGCTGCAGAGGCAGCACAACCAGGAGACTGGCAGGAGACCAGCAGGACATGGCGTGGTGGGCTTCCCAGCCTATGGAGTGAGAAAGTTGAGTGCCTTCAGGTAGGAGGCTTGCTGGCAGAGTAGGGTTTCTCCGGGCACTCAATGGAATGTTTGCTGACCCATGGGACTAGAGCTGAGTGCCTCTGGGCCGAGGCTTACTGGTGGAGTGAGATGCTGCCAGGTACTTATTGGAAGAGCCAAAAGAACTTTGTAATACTTGCCCAAGTAGGACAGAGGCCAAGGGGCCAGAGAGAGGCATGCCTACAGGCATGGCTGAGAAGAGGCTGTCCTGATGGAAGAACTGTATCCTGAGTGTTCCTGAACCTGAATTGTAACCTGTTACTTCCCTAATAAACCCTATAATTGTGAGTATTGTCTGTGAGTTCTGTGGGCCACTGCAATGAATTGTTGAACTCAGCAGAGAAGTAAAAAGTGCCATGGGAGCGACAGTTGGATTTGGAATTAGTAAAGATGGCAGAGAAAGGAAGCATGTCTGACCTCTGCCTCATAGGAATCAGCCTTGGGCTGTTAATTTTGATTCTCCTTCCCTCTTGTGAAGTTAGAGGCTGGTCAGAGTCCTCCACCACACCCTTTTTACATTCAAGGAAGCTTCCTAGAAATAATTCATCAGTCTGTGAAGAAAAGGAAGAAGAGCCTTCTAAGCAGGGAGGATGGCATGAGCAAAGCCCCTGGGACATGAAACAGCATGGTGTGGCAGGGAACCAAAAGCAGCTGTTCCTTCTGAAACCTAACTTCTGAGGCAGAGTGGCAGAGGAAGGTGAGGCTGGTGAGGAAGGTAGGGACTCAGTGTGGTAAGGCAATGAGTTTGGACTTGAATCTCAAGAGGTGACTGAAGGATTTTAGATGGGAGAGTGACTTGGTCAGACCTGCATTTAAGACAGGAGGCTGGCTGCTCTGTGGCAGATGGAGCCAGGGAATCCAGTTAGGATGCTACTGCAGTATTCTAGGTAACAGTCAAGAGGCTGAACTCATGCAAGGGTAACAGGAATAGAAAATGGAGGGGTGGGAGGATTTAAAAACTGTTAAAGAGCTAAAACCAGCAACACTTACTTGGTGATTTATTAATAATCATTCCATTCCTTAAAATTCACTGCCTACAGCCTATAGCCAATATACTGGTGGTGGGTGGGGACTGCAGAGACAGTGAAAGAGAGGAAGGTGCTAATGATCATTCTCAGGAAGGAAAGAGCTGTGAGAGTGATCAAAGGACAAAAAGAACATTTCCCACTGCCACGACCTCCCAGAATCCCTTCCTCTACCCTCCCTGGAGCTGAAGACCTTCATGATGAACGGACCAGAAATACCAACATTCCTTTTCCCTTGGGCTAGAATTTATAAATAAAGTTTTATTAGCACGCTGCCATATCTGTTTATGTATTATCTGTGGCTACTTTCTTGCTAAAACCATAAAGTTCAGTAGTTGTGACAGAAATCATATGGTCTGCAAAGTTTGAAATATTTACTATCTGGCACTTTATAGAAAGAGTTTACCAACCCTTGAGCCAGAAGGTTGAAGGGAGTGATTTAACAGAAGGCTCACCTGTCTCCATATCCATAGCCCTTAAAAATCCAACAGAAATGCTCTCAGGAAATGGGAGCTTTGATGATGGAAAAAAGGAAGGAGAAATAGGTCGACTCAGAGCACTGGGTACCAGTAGGTGGGGTGATTTTGGACAGTTGGAGGAGAGCAGCATTAGGGTCCTAGGTGCTTAAGGAAGACAGAAAAAGAGGTAAGGGTAGGGAGAAGTGCTTCATTGAAACAACCCTCTGTTACCTCACTGGAGCCTGAGGCTGCACTTCTTCCCAAAGGCTAGACTACTGACACTCAACTGGACTCACTCCTGCTGCCTAAAATGCCCAGGGTAAGACTGATACCCAGATGAACTGGCTCTGTGAATGCCTAGGGAAGGGCACAATGATAGCAGTAAGAAGCAAACAGAAGGTAAGCACAGACTATTATTCTTATGTATCCTTATGTACCTTAGTGACAATTAGGTTAAAAAATGCAATAGTTATAACAAAGTACTATTTATTTTCATTCCTCTTGTAAAATGACCTCGAATTTCTTCTTCCCTCATTTTAGGTAGTCTGTGCTGTTTTCTGGTTTGTAGTTGGATCAGTTACAACCTAACACACTTTCTGATTTTATGGCTACATAGTAAGAAGTAATGACAATCATGACATGTAAGTAATTATGGATTTGGATTCATCTTACCATGGACAACAGTCTATTGATGGCCACTGCCCGCTGCTGGGCTTCTATATGAGGCATTTCATTCTGAATTACTTGGTCTGTGATCCCATGAGGGAACTGGTGACATAATTCTATAATCCTAGGAACAAAGCCATTAATGATATGCATGTTTACCTGTTTCAAGCGGCAGTAAGGGGAAACACAAGCAGAATGGTTTGAAATTGTCTTTTATTTTCATATTTGGCAGATAATCTGTGTTTCTATAATGATTCTAAATCAAATCATATAAAAAACTAAGACACATTTCTAAACGCACATTTACATTATTATTGTTGTTTAAGGGGAGTATTTCTTTCCCTCACTCATTTCAGCTTTAAATTAGAATGAAAGTCAAATGAAAACACAGGAAAAAAAAAATAAAGCTGAGGCTTCAATTTTCTCAGATGGAATAACTATGAAAAAATTAAGTTGTAGTGCATTGGATAGCGATAAGTCTGTAAGCAGAAGGCAACTCCAGACACTTCTGGCAGAAGACAAAACTTGTTATGGCACTGTACCATAACTGTGGCCTACTTTTTGGAATCATCCCTACCAAACAAAAATAAGCCAATCTTAACCTTATCATAGGCTCATCATATCTGTGTTACTCATAAAAGTTTGAGAAAGGTGGGGGTCTTATAAAACCATAAAATCTAAAAACTGCAGTGCACTGCCAGAGAATATAAAATTGGGAGAGGCTTCAGGTGCCCTAAAATCTTAAGTTCAATACTACACCGAAGTAATCACAAACTGCACCCCTAACTCCGCTTGAACGTTCTGTTCCGGGTGTTCCCTTAGTGACAAGGCAAATCCTGGATCAATGCACGTATCCACGAATATCACAGCCAAACGCAGAGGTCTTTCTGGCACTGATCATCGTAATGTGGGAAGGAAGCACATCATCCCAACTTCGCAAACACCATCAGGGAAAAGTCAGTTACCATCAGGGAAAAGTCAGTTACACAGAGTTGCAAACTGTCAAACTCGTTTTGAACTTAAGAGTTCTTTTATCTGGGGAAGGAAGGGAGGGTCCAGAGACCCGCAATTCCCTTCCCGTGTGCTCATGGGACCCTGGAACCGAGCCTCACTGGTTTACCTGTTTTCTATTTCGACCGGATCCGCGTCGGGCGGCTGCACCTTCACCTTCACCTCAGCCATGAGGGAGCAGATCCGGGCCCGTGCGGGGGAGATGAGCACTGTGTCCCTAAATAACAAGCCGAAGAACCTGGCGAACCTACGCAAGATATCCCCCAGGCGGGGACAAGGGGCCTTCTTCCTCGTGTCGCAGCCAGTTCTTCCTTCTCTGTCGGCTTGAGGCGGCCAAGCCACGCCTGCTCCGACTCACTCGCCGGCGCCTCTACATTTTGTTATGCTATGTTTGTTTTCCAGAATGTTAATGCCTGTCGGACGAACGAGACTGATTCCTTCATTCTACGTGGAGATATCACCTTTCAGCACTTTCCAACCTCTGTGAAGGCATATACCCGGACGTCTAAGGTAGAGTCTCGGGAAAGGAGCTCGAGGTGGGTACCAAAGTCAGGGCCAAACTGCCGGGGCAGAGCTGGTTACTAGGGAAGCGGGGTTTCCACCAATCTCCTGCCGCGCTCTCAGTGGGCGGGGCGCGGCTCGCAGCGTCTGTGGTAACCCGGTCCGCAGCCGAGGAGCCGAAGAGAGGAGGTGAGAGACGAGAGACAGGCTGGGGGCGGTGGGGGACCCTCGGTGGGGCCAGAACCGGGTCTGGGTGGCCGGAGGAGGAGGAGGACCTCCCTAACTCCCGCTGAAAGGATGCAGGCGTCCTTGGCTGCAGCTTATGGGCGGGGGCGGGGACCTTAAAGGGTACCGGATCCGGGAGGCGAGGGAGTTGGGTGTTGGGTGCTGTTGACTCAGCGCTGCTGTTTGTCCTTTTCGGTCTCCTTCACCTGGGGCCTGCTGGCCGCCCCAACCTCCCAAAGGCAGCTACTATTGCTGCGCGTATGACTTTCTCCCCAACTATTTGTATTTTAAACTAATTTCTCAACTATTTTTATTTTAACTGCCTCTTACTTGAATGGAAATATGGGGATAGGCAAGCCCCGCAAGTCCAGCAACATTTCTGTAGGGGCTATTGCTTTGCTGTCAGTATCTGCAGTTTAAATTCTTGGCTTCCAACCTGTAGCTATCTAAGAAGGCATTAAGTTCACCCCTTACGTTTAGTTATCCCACTTTGGTGATAGGGTCTGTGACAAAACTCAGACTACAAAGATGTTTAGAGCGGCTTTTGCAACAACCAGAACTAAAAAGAAACTAAAAATAGCCTAAATGCCTAACCACAAACTGATAAATAAGATTACATAAGTACATAGAAAACTGAATAATCAAGGATGCAAGAAGTAGGCTGTAAAAATTGAGTGAATATATAGATTATAATTGAGTAATACCAATGTACGCACAATCATTGAATTTTCAAAAGGCATTGCATAGCTGTAGATAGTCGCTGTGATATGGAGATTGGTTTTATCTTCTGAAACCTTTTATATTTTAAAAATTATGACACTTCCCCCCAGGAAAAAGATCAGTAAGGCTTCCATACTTGTAGTTAATACAGTAGATGGAATGGGAGACTTTTGTGCTTGTTGATCACTGTTACTATCCATGCCAAGTTCCTTTCAGCCGAGTGATACTCTACAGTCCTTCTAAAGTTTCTTTACAGGTTTCAAATGCAAGAATCACTGTGGTGACAACTGCAGGGCTAACGACCTGGCTCTTCACCACGAGTGGGTTCTAAATCAACATTTCATGCTACATGCAGATTTAATTTCTGTTCTTCTGCTGTGATGGCTTGCCCTGAAGCCAAGAGAGGTTGTACACTTACAGGAGGCTGGAACAGGTGATGATGATCAAGTGGGAACTCAGGTCAGATCATTAGTGATGGTCTCTGTTCCACCTGATTCCTTTAATTTGCCCATTCCTCTGTCCCATTGATTCATGTTCTTTTCCCAGACGTGAGGTAAGTATTCAGATAATCGAAACTCCACACAAGACCTCAACAGCAAAAATAATACAGCTAAAACTTAATAACTATTTCGATTAAAAATTGACTAATATTTGTAGGAGAGACGTGGTTAAAGCACTCAGCTGCTCACCCAAGATTGGTGGTTGAAGTCCACCCATAAGCACCTTGAAAGAAAGGCCTGGTGTTCTACTTCTTAAAAATCAGCCATTGAAAACCGTATAGAGCATATTTCTACTCTGACACACATGGGACCGCCATGATTTGGGATCGACTTGATGGCAACTGGTTTAATATCTGTAGGTGATATATTAACAGTATTCTCTTTCTCTTTTTTTCTTTTTTTGTTACTGGTTTTGCTGACTTTAAATGAAGTGCTTTTCTTCAGCTTTTGTGTTCAAATATAGATACACATTGGCATTTACTTTGATCCACTTTTTTTTTTTTTAACGTAAGGAGAAAAGATGACTGCTGGTTCAGTGTGTGTCCCTCAGATCATACCACTGAGAGTGCCTCAGCCTGGAAAAGCCAAACATGAAATTGATAACAATACACTTTTGGAAATGAAATCAGGTAGGAATCAAATGTATTTGAAATCCTTTGAAATAACATTGTCTTACTCTTTGCGCTCATCTGGTTCTTCACGTACTTCTTCGCATGCTTTCTTTAGTCACGACCTTGGGAGATTTGTAAATCTTGCAAAATTTGGAACAGTGTTATACTTTGATGGCTTTTAGAGTGCTGTATATTTAGATTAAAACAGTTGGCTTTGACCAAGCTTTTGTTTGGGTTATTACATATTGCAGCTAAGCCTCAACTCAGCTAAGGTAAGCTGTCCCAGTGCATCCCCAGTCTTTCCCAGGTTGCCCATTATTTTGCTGGCATAATAAACTTGACCTGCTAACACTGGCTTGCCATTTAGACATGTTGGGGATTGACCCCTGGCATGACAATTTCTAATGACCTTAGACACGTTACCTAGCCTTTCTCACTCTGTTTTCTCATTGTAAGATATGGATAATTACATCTACCATTTAGAGTCGTTGCAAAGAGCAAATGTGTTGATATATACGTGAGATGCACAAGATCTGGCATGTAGTAATGCCAAAATAAATCTTAAATATTATTACAGAAATAAAGTGATAAATACATTTCTTGGTAATATTTATTAATCAAACTCTTTCTTCACACACACCCACACCCACACACAGACATGCACATATAATTAACATAAGACAGGAATGTTTTATAGATAAAACATATGGACAAATACACTTATTAAAAAGTCTTTGAGATTCCAACTGTATATTTTAGTAACTGAAATGTATAAAAACTATTTATGTGTACATATGTTATGACCCCTGTGCTTCCTAGACCTAGAGTTCCAATGAACAATATGTTACATTATACTATGCCCTCTTTATCTTTTTTTTTTTTTTTTAAATTTTATTGTACTTCAGGTGAAGGCTTACAGAACAAATAGTTTCTCATGAAAGTATAGTACACATGTTGTTTTATGACATTGGTTAACAACCCCACAACATATTAACCCTCTAACTTCTAAACCCTTTTTTTTTGGTGAAAATACACATAGCCAAAGATACACTGTTTCAAAAATTTCTACATGCACAGTTCAGTGACATTGACTACGCTCTTCCAATTGTGCTGTTATTCTCACTTA